TGGCCTCTGCCTAAATCCAAAATCAGGCCACAATGCTTGATGAAATCCGCTCCCAAAATGACAGGTATGCAAAGGTCCTTGGCTACCCAAAAACTCCACACCCAAGAAAAATGTTCAATCTTGAATTTCAAACGGGCTTCATAGATGATAGGAAGTGGGGATTTCGATGCAGTCCAGCAGATGTGGGTACTTCGCTCAACTTGCTTGATTAGCCCAGAAGATTTTAGATTTTCAAACAGGGAAAGGGAAATGAGACAACGGGCTGACCCAGAATCCACAAGGGCCTTCTGCACCGTTTTACCTAAGAAGATGTTGAGTCGTGGGCAAGTTGAGCGCGCCGCTTTCACTCCCATGCATGCAAGCTCCCTCATTCCCCGCGACAGAGGCTCCCCAAAACCAGCACTCCCAGAAGGGGCAGTACTCACAGAAACAAAATTCTTACTGACTTTCTCCAAAACAGCTTTCTCACAGGGCGGTTTAGGCAAACTTTCCCCTTGTGAGCTACTCAGGGTTTTGGACAAAGTCCCAAGATTAACCCTCTGACGACACTCTCGTCTCATGTGACCTGTTTGACCACAGCCAAAGCAAACGATAGGATGCCTCTGTCTCTGCGGTGTTTCAGGACCTCGACACACGGATGCTACAGCGGGATGGGGACCAGTCCGGGGAAGATGCCCCGCAACGTGCTCCCTCTGACAATCAGCGTCTTGAACGCTCCGTGAAAGGATGACCAACCTATCCAGGTCTGCAAAAGAAGAAGGCTTTGGAGCAAAAATCAGTCTGGACCGCTCCTCAGGCTTCAACCCCTGCAAGACAATGTCCACCAGTTGGTGTTCAGGGATGTCCAGCCGTAGGACACGCCACACGCCACAAATGTCACCCACATACTGACTGAGAGTTTCATCAAATTTTTGAGGTCGAAACACTCTCTCAACCTTCAATCTCTCCATGACCCTGAAGGGGACAAAGAGCTCAAGCACTTCACTGTGAAAAATGTCAAAATTTACTCCCCGTTTCAAACAGTCTAACAATTTGTCACCAAGAGGTCTCAGGCAGAGTGGAACCAGCAGTTCCAACACTACTGAGTCCTCCATGCCTGGGAACTCCTTCAGGTGCAACACCTTTCCCAAAAACTCTAACAAAGGTTCCACCTCTAAACCATCAACCGGGCGAATGTCGCTCAAAACCCCAGCAATGGGATTGGGCAGTGGAGCAAACAAACCCATTTTGTTCTCAGTCAGTCGGTCTACCTTCAAAACACACAAAAAAAAAAATTTTTTTTTACAACGAACAATTCACAAACTTAACTAACTAAAGACTCTGGACTGAAATGCCTACAGTCAGATGAGGTCCCAAACAGAAGAACCTGCCCATACACACCGCCTTAGCCACCAAAACAAAAACACGGACTTACACTCACGACATACACACAACATACATACACTAAACAACAACACCTAACATTTGTGTGATGAGGTAAACACACACACAGCTTCAATTTTGGGTTTGGCCATGCTTTTGACACTCTTGCTCCCAAAGGATGCAAGTCATTAACCAGATTCCACCCGGTGACTCGGCCAAGGGCGAGCTCCTAATAAAAAACTACAACAGTGTGCTTACCCCACCACAACAACCTTTCTTCAAAAAATTCCTAAGACTGCCAGACCAGAATCACCCAAAAATCAAATCCAACCACGGCCCTTCGTGGATAGAGCACAAAAAACCACGCTCTGCTACCATCTGAGCCGACCCCTCGCACCGCCCCCAGACGAACAACTAAAGGAAGCATGCCCCCCATAGTGACAGTGCGAGTGGTCGCCCCACAACCCTAACAAAAGTGAAAGGCCGTGGGTGAATATAAGAACAAACAAACAGTTGTCAACAAGGCCTATAATATTTCAATGAATTCAACAATAACAACAAACAACAAATTCCATCCATCCAAAGAATTTCTTTTAAAGTTAAATAAAATATCAATTTATGTCTACCCTTCTGAATTTACAAAACTGGCACCAGTAACAAAAAAATTGGTCTAACTAAATAAATAGGATGGTAACTATGACGTATTAAACTTTAAAAAGATTAACAATAAAGAAATAACAATTAAATAAATAACGTTGACTATCAAAATTCAATAATGGAATAATAAATTATTTTGGGGCCCATTTAAAAAAACAATCCTTTTTTCTTATTAAAAAAAGTTCATAAAGTTCAAGGCAACTTGCGGTTATGGTGGCACATTTTTGTCACATCACACTAGTGGTGGGCGGCGGTGATCCATCTTGGAAAGTGGATGGCGGAAGACGACATAATGGTCCCCAGAGAAGCAGGGCTGTAGGCAGCGGAGGGAGAAGGTAGAGTGTCCCCCCGGGCGACCCTCTCTGAGGACAGCAGCCGATTGAAAACCCTCCATCCGGGACCCTTTAAACAGTTTCCAGGTCTAACTAATAAAAGTTCATGTAACTTGATTTTAACATTAGGCCTACCTAGCTTTTCAAGCCAAAAAACTCCAAAAAACAGTTTCCGCACCACTCGAACAACGTCCAAACCATTAAGAGTGATTTTATTAATAAATATTCTTCTTTTAAATTAGGCTTTCCTTTATAAAACAGTTTTTTAAGAGTGATAAAGAGAAAATGACTAGAAATAAATTAATTCAGTTCAATAAAGCTCTAAAACATAACAATAAATAGACTTTTAAATATTACTAACTTTAACAACATATTCTTACAGGCATTTTTCATAAAAATTGAAGTTGACAATAAAAGATATGAATTTAGGGTCCAGAAGGGTAATATACACTAGTAAAACACAAAACAATTACATAAATACTACAATAAACACTTCGAAAAACAGTTCTCACAAAATATTAAAAATTCTTTGGCTGGAGGTGCAATTTCAGGTAAAACCGGTAATAACTCCGGTTATTACCAACCAAATTTGCTCAAAAAGCTTTTAAAAGTTGTGGCACAAGTGCCCGCAGCTTTTAAAAGACAAACCCATGCCTACCAACTAGCCTGAGGCCAGGTAGGGGGTCAGTTACCTACGGTCACTCAGAAAACAGAAATGCGCTAAGCTAAAACTTAAATAACTCGGTCATTTATCAACCAAACTTAATGAAAATTGCAGGGGACATGTAAGAGCACTAAAACTAACTAATTATGACCGAGCTTGGCCCCCAGGAGGTGCCATTACTTAACAAAAAAATTTAGGCTGAGTGACATGGCCTACATTACAAACAACAAAAAAAACACTATTACATGGGACAGAGGGACAAAATTTACATTAAACAAGTTGTAGGCCACAATAACAATACAAAATATGAGCACAAACTAGGCCTTAGGCCTAATAAAAAGTTAACAGGGACACAGAACAAACGGACCCTAGCCCGCACAAAAGTGAGTTTCAAAGTGGGTTTTCTTGGGTAATATCTGGCCTAGAGTCTCGGGGAAAGCTTTGAAAACTTGACAACAAAGAAAACTACAAAACTAACCAGAAAAACTTGTGGTCAGACCACACAAAGCTTGGCCAAAGGCCCATAGAAACTCTGAACAATTCCAGGCTCAGAAATGGGTCTAGCGCCTTGAAAAACAAGCAATTGGTAATTAAAAGTAATACCAATGCACAGAAGGTGCTTAATACTTGTTTTTCACTAGCCAAAACCCACTCAAAGCCTGCTCAACATGTGGCTGAAGGCCAAAACTAATTCAGAAACTTTCTAACCTAAACAAATCAAAATATCAATCAACTTACTCATCTGACGACTGGCAAAACACTTATCTACATGACTGGATCAAAACGTTGTAAAGTTGAATAAAACAACATGAGGAACAACGGCATAAAAACGATTTACACGGATACAATTTTTTATGCAAACAATCACCAAGTCTGAGATGGTTGACAGTCGCACGCCTTCTGACCCCCAAACGTCAGGCGGACATTGACTCTGGGTTGCAGGTTTGCTGCCCGACCCAAACCGACTGAGTTCCGGCGCAAAGCCAGTACTCGCACTATACAAAAAACACTGAGGCGTGACATTGGTGGGACGCTTGGTGGACAAGTCACGGCTCAGCTATATATAATTTATAATCAAAATTTATTCATTGACTTATCAAAATTATTATTCAAAACAATTCCTCCATTTAAAATACAGTGCATCTGAATTCAAGATTATCAATAAAATTCATCCATGTTTTTTTTTATGTGAACCCCATAATTTAAGAAATGATTTACAACAATGAACAGTGAGAGTGCAGTTAAGGTATCCAAGAAGAACCTACAGAAACTATTAGTTTTAGTTGTGATAAATAAATTGTAAAATTATAAAATAAAGTATTGTCAAAATATCCAAATTAACTGAAGAAAGAAGAATTTAGGGCTACATTATTCAGAAGAAAATTATTATTACAGAAGATTGGTGGGAACATTCCATTTAAAATTAGGCCTAATTCAAACTATAGACATCTCCAGGATCCATTTTGGGACTAAAACTACCTCCATGTTTCATTGATATTAACAAAAGAAAAGAAAAATTAATCATCTTATTAAAATATTGTTTCCAAATTATTATTCAATCTACATCTTAACTTACTACATAAATTCAAAGAAATCTTTTGATTCAGTCTGCACAAATTTTACACCCCTCAAGAATTTTTGTAACCACTTATTTACCTTTAAACATTGTACCTATTCAATAACATCCGTACCTCATCATTTCTATTATTAGTCAAGACAAAAATAAAATAACAACATATTTAGAGGTTTATTTCATAAGCTAGCAAGAGTCACTACATTCAGATAAATATTAGAGCGTGTTTTGCTAAAGAAGTGATACAATTTGAAATACTGCATGTGATGTTCACTATTTCTAGGTTTATTTACTATTTGAATGTTCGAATAAACTCATTAATATTGAGCCGGGCTCGAATACTAAATTATTTGTTCAACTGTCCCTAGTTATTTTATGTATGTAGTATTGATGGTTGAGTTGGTTTGTACAGAGCCCGAGCCAAGACGTGTGTTGGAGTGTCGTGTAACATTGCTACCTTGCTGGCCATGTTGATCAAGCCCTACATGCCTCACACGTCAGACGTGATGGCCGCACAGATCAACGCACCTAAGGACGCCTTCATACTCACAGACCATGTCTATCAGATACTCACTCCTGGACACAGGATAGGAAAGGTGAGCAAAGGGCATGTCAACTTTTTTTGGAAAATCGGTTGATGATATGATGTGATGATATTTACATTTGTGGTACTGGATTATATTATTCATAACTACTGGTTACTGGCTTCGGGTATTCGGTGTTTTTTTTGTTAATTCAATGGTGATGATGATTAAGAATTAAAAAAATAATAGTTGCAATGGAATACAAATGTTTTCTTCATAAATTGAAAAAAAAAAACTGTTTAATTTAATAGTTTTAGTATTTTTACAACGGTTTTCATTATTTTTCCCTGATGTCCAAACTAAACTAGCCTGGCAAAGTCGGATAAGGGTAAGACTGAAAAATTAAGACCATCAAGTACCATTTTCTAAAGGCGAAGGAAAGGATTTGGATGTTGGTGGACGGGTATAAAAGTATATAAAGTATAAATTCTCGGTAAAAAAGTTTAGACCAAAATCCAATCCATAGTTCTTGGGAGATTATAGTTCTGGCACCTCAAGTATTAAAAATACTAAGTGGTTGGGTCTATTACTTCCTCCACTGAAAATAAAGTTCCAATTCAGTTTTGGCATTTTGGAATAAATTTCATCATATTTTCTGGAAAAGCGCAACAAACGCTACTGGTATAAAATAATTTAAGCAGTTGTTTTTTTTTTTTTTCAAATTCGTCTTGTCACTTGCCCACAGCCAGTTCCGCTATTCGCCAAGATAGAGCCGAGCACTGTAGATCAACTGAAGAAGAGGTTTGCAGGCAGACAACAATCACCTCCGGCTGCCAAAGGCGTCAAACCTACGCTAGACCCAGCCATTGATTCACTGGACAAGATGGAAGCTGCGGTCCAGAAACAGGTACCTTAGTCAATCAGTCAATCCTTTAACAGCTTCAATACTTAGGTAGCAGTTACTTCTTTAACAATTTATGACATTATCATAATGATTTGTACAACATGTAAATTAAAGGAATGGATATATTAAATTTTATTTTTATATTGACAGAAATGCAGTGTTACACTAATAAGTTATTAATTTGTGTATTTAATGGTTTTTTATTGTATTTTTGTCGATTCGATGACAATTTCATAACATTCAATTTTCATTACATTTTATTTTATTTTATTTTTTTAAAAATTTATTACTAATTTTGAGAGTCATGTTGTATGTTGGTGTTTTGTAGGATGCCAGTGAACATTAAGAACAGGCTTATGTTATTATCTATATAGATAGATATATAGATAGTTTGGGAAAGAACCATACTTACCTTCTTATCATCATAGGTTGTTATAATAAACAAAGAGAATGAAAACCCAAGTGTTCCATTTGATTTTGGCTGGATCAAATAATGTGCTTGAAGCCTTGGAATCATATTAGTGATATATTGTTATTATTACAATCATATTATATATTATTATCGCTTCATTTCCTAATACTGGATAGCCAAATATCAATGAATATTTATTTACTTACCTTCTTATCATCATAGGCTGTTATAATAAACAAAGAGAATGAAAAACAAGTGTTCCATTTGATTTTGGCTGGATCAAATAATGTGCTTGAAGCCTTGGAATCATATTAGTTATACAGGGTGGCTGAAAAGTAACTTGCACCCCCCCTTAACTTTTCAACCATTTGAGATATTTGAAATCGGTTTGCGGCAACCTTCTTAGATATGAGGGGCTACAATAATTATGGTCAATTTTGAAAATTTTGTCCTTAGGGGTAGCGGGGGTAGGGGGTAGCTCAAAATTTTCAAATGACAAGTATAGTCGAGTTTGGTATCATTTTAAAGGTCTTGACGAAACATAAACATTGACATCAAGAAATCCAAAATCGGCTCACTAATAACAAAATGGCGCCCTAAAACGTTTCAAATCCAAATAACCATGACGGTGGCAAAAAAATTAACTTGCACCCTCTTTAACTTTTCAACTAGTTGAGATATTTGAAATCGGTTTGCGGTAACTTGTTTGGGTATGAAGGGCTACAATAATTAGGGTCAGTTTTGAAAATTTTGCCCTTAGGGGTAGCGGGGGTAGGGGGGTAGCTCAAAATGTTGAAATAGCAAGTTTAGTAGAGTTTGGTATCATTTTGTAGGTCTTGACGAAACATAACAATTAACATAAAGAAAATATAAATCGGACCATTAATAACAAAATGGCAGTTCAAAATTACTTTAAATAAGCATTGTCTCAATCATTTTTAGCTGCCATTTTGTTATGAATGGTCCGGTTTCTATTTTCTTTATGTTATTTTTTATTTTTTATGTTTCGTCAAGACATGTAAAATGATACCAAAGTCGACTATACTTGCTATTTGAAAATTTTGAGCAACCCCCTACCCCCGCTACCCCTAAAGGCAAAATTTTCAAAACTGACCATAATTATTGTAGCCCTTCATTTCCAAACAAGTTGCCACAAACCGATTTCAAATATCTCAAATAGTTAAAGAGGGTGCAAGTTAATTGTTTGCCACCCTCATGGTTATTTGGATTTGAAACGTTTTAGGGCGCCATTTTGTTATTAGTGAGCCGATTTTGGTTTTCTTTATGTCAATGTTTATGTTTCGTCAAGACCTTTAAAATGATACCAAACTCGACTATACTTGTCATTTGACAATTTTGAGCTACCCCCTACCCCCGCTACCCCTAAGGGCAAAAATTTCAAAATTGACCATAATTATTGTAGCCCCTCATATCTAAGAAGGTTGCCGCAAATTGATTTCAAATATCTCAAATGGTTGAAAAGTTAAGGGGGGTTGCAAGTTACTTTTCAGCCACCCTGTATATTGTTATTATTACAATCATATTATATATTATTATCGCTTCATTTCCTAATACTGGATAGCCAAATATCAATGAATATTTATTTATTTTATACCATCTGGGATTCCCCACACTGCAATACTGGTACCATTGTCATTGCCATAATCTGATGTGTAGCCTCCATTACAGTACATACAGTAAATCTCTTATTTTGTAATATTGCAGGCTGACCTTGTAAGATCTATGAAGGAAGGCGGAGCTGCCAAATCAGAATGGCAGCCACATGTCAAAGTCTTGTTGGAGATGAAGAAACAGTTGGAAGGAATGAAGAAGGCCACACCACAAGTTCAAAATCAGGTAAACGAAAAAAAAAAAAAATGGTTTGAGCCCCAAATGCTGATATGGGCCATCAAGTCGTATTCAAATAGCCACTCACACAGTGTATGTGAAAAGCTCATAGAAAATAACTGTAAGATATATCCAGCAAAAAATGTGACCTTGAAGTATAGAACTACACCAAGCTTGGGCTTTGGATTTATCAGTAAAGTTCATATGGTAGACATTAGTCTAATCAAAGGCCAGTCAGTTTATAAGTGTCTTCCTGCAACGAAGATTAATGGTTTGAATCTTGTCTCGGTCAGGCTTAGTCTGATAATAAATAAGACAAGTTTACGCAACGATCGTGTAAAGATCTTCATCACACAAGTAGAAATTTAAGGCACTATCTTGCCTTAAAACTTCTACGAGTGTCGTAAAGGCTATTACACAAGTTGCTTTACTATTACCTACGCCGTTTTACTAGAACTGTTTGACATTTTCAAACTCTTTCAATAAACCTTCCTGCAATTGTTGGTTAGCAAATTGTTTAGTTCACCTGGGATTTAGGAAAGAATGTGCGTTCCTGGAGGAAATCAGCAAATCAACAATTTTATTGGTCCACAATTTGAGTTTTGTTACTGGCTGATAAGTTGGCGTTGGAAGAATTACTTCTTTCTCATTTGCAATTTTACTTCTTTTCTCTCTTTATCCTTGAACCCCATTGGTCAGATACTTTATCACTCTAGATAAATTAAGTAAGATCAAAATTAACAATGTGGTAATGTGAATCTCTTTGATTCCAAAAATTGTTTTGACAAGGCTAGTATAAAAAATGGTCGTAAGTTTAAAGTATTTTACCTGGTTTGGAGCAGAGTTATTTGCCGCTTGGTGGATGAGGTACATTTAGAATAAACAATGTTTTAAGTGGAAGTTAATGGGAAGGTGGGTTATTGTGAGTTGTGTCACGATCAGATCAGGTCGCGATACGATCAGGCTACTTTTCACCTATCTTTACTGTAATATAACTGTCCAAGTAACTTCCTTGTTTGTTACAGACCTCATCACCTTCTTCAAGCAGAACAGTTGAAGTTTTAGAAAAAGAAGTCACTGAGCAGGTTTGTGTTGAAAAGTTTCATTTTCAGTTTATTCATTACATCCATTTATAAATATCCGATTAATTTGGGATACAAATTGTAAAAGAATCAAAATGTAGTTTTAAGGGCAGTATTGATATAACTCATTCTTAATAAATTTAAAGATATTGGTTTGGTTTGAAAAGTAACTTATAACTTACAGAACTAAATGACAAATGACAATTCTTTATTCCTCATAACATCTGTTACAATTATTACAAACGTAATACACAGACAGGTATACTGTCCAGGTTTCTAATAAATAAAGAATTCTAAATATAAAAAAAAACTAAGATTTAGCCGGTAAGGTACCCCTACAAAAGCTACAGCATGGTGGAACTGTTTATGTTAGGAGAGGTTGGCGAGAGAATGGGTGTCTGTTACCAGGAGTCGTTGAAAAATTCCTCAAGAGTGTAATATGCTTTTTCTTATAAAACGGTTTTGATTTTGTCTGAAAATTTTGCTATGTTTAATTGCTTTAAGGCGTTCTCATTGTATCTTATTGTAAATTTTTAACCTCATATAGAGAGGACTTGTTTCATACATACAAACCTTAGGTAAACCTTGAGGACCTTGGTACGTTACTCATGCTGTAAAGTAAAACAACAATGCTGTTAAATAAGTATACAACGCTGTTGAGTGAATCTTTTCAATTTTAAGAACTGAACTTAAATGGCTCGTTTAAAAAAACCGTCGTAGGTAAACTAATTAACACAATTTGGTGTGAAATATGTCTTACAAAATCCAAGCGTTTGCAACTTATTATCAAATAGCTGTACCCGCGGGCTTTGCCCCATTTAACTTCTTAATTTTCAAGATGAGCTCGTTCGCATGGCTCAATCACGTCCTGGTTGGAGCTCGTTCGCTGCGCTCACTTGCCTTCAGGTTAGCTCGTTCGCTACACTAACTCGCCTCCAGGTTGAAGTTCGTTCGCTACGCTCACTCACCTTTTGGTTTCAAATTAGCTGTGTCATAAATTAAAAAAAATAATAGTGCTGCACCCTGTTGGTAATCCTTGTAACTTTAATGCTATTGAACATCAATAACATCATAGAACAGAACCAATTTGTTTAATTGAAACAGCTGTTAAGATTCTTTAATTCCATTTAAATATGAGTACTCATAAGGTTAACGTGGGAAACTCCAGAGCCACTGGGGCAGAGCCCGAAAGCCCGATCAGAATAAAAACTACTTAGTTTTTCTATTTAATGCCTAAAGAATCGGTGTACCGAATTTCAGCTTCCTAGGTAAATGGGAAGTGGGAGAATTAGTGATGAGTGAGTGAGTCTGTCAGTCAGTGAGTCAGTGAGGGCTTTGCCTTTTATATACAGTCCAACCTCAGTATAACGAATCTGAAGGGACCGAACTGAATATTCGTTATATCAAGGATTTCGTTAAAACGAGGTCCGTTATAAAATAGAGGTTAGGTTTGCAGGAATTTCGCTAAGTCGAGGTTCAGAACCAGCGTCGGTCAATATAGGTCGGGATTTGACCTCATTAAAATACAGTACAATTAAAGTAGCATAGGCTACAATACTTTACAGTACAGTGTTTACATTGTAGGTACAGTAGAACCTAAATTATCCGGCATAATAAAGGGGAGGGATCTTGAATATTGCGCAATCATGACAATGGCATTGACCTTGGTACAGGTTAAAAACTGTAAGTTTAAAATCACAGCTTGTTCTAACCCTCCTAAAACCTAGCCAAACACTGTATTGTGTAGCCATAAACCATGTAAAGAACAAAACAAAACAGTAGAAAGTTTTGTAAGCTACTGCTCGCGATAGGCCGGTAGGCTACTTACAATACAGTACTGATTTATCACAACAGAGGAAAGTAAATAATAATCAGCATTGGTGTTGCTAGTTGAAACAAATCGTATTGAAAACAATAAATTATTAGATAAGTCATTATAAAAGTGTATAATCATAGCCAACTTAAGGATAATAAAAACACTCGTAAAAGGAACGCTAAAATAACGATGTTGCTATTATTTCTCTTTGGTTTTGTTTTTATATTCTTTCTTAGGTTTCTCTTTATCCAAAAATTGTACAATTCCCCATAGTTACTTATCGCCCAATCGCAGCTTACTAAACACTACGTCGTCCTCGTCATCAGTCCTCACCTCAATGAATGAAATCAGTTCTCAGTTGCAAGTTGCAACATCAGACAGCAGACGGAGATGTGTAAAACGGAGCAGACGAATGTTAGCGCAAGCGATGACGTGACCTTTCTATTTCATTTGATAAAGAAACAGTTTTTCCCAAAACAATAATTGGGTGGGGGATTTGTTATATCGAGGGAAAGACGTAGACAATTCGTTATGCAGAGGTTAAATTCGCTATGTAGAGGTTCTGACAATGATAAATTCGTTATATTGAGGTGTCTTATTTTAGCCGAAATCACGAAAAATTCGTTAAATCAAGGTGGTTGTTATGGTTTGTTCGTTATGTAGAGGTAAAATATACATTGTGTCTTATGGAGAGTTCTAGGGGATTAAAAAAAATTCGTTATATCAAGGAATTCGTTATATCGAGGTTCGTTATATCAAGGTTAGACTGTATATAGATTCTAAATTCAAACAAAACGTTTTATTAATTGTAGTAGTAAACTTGTTGTATTAGATTTAAAGCAATCAAGTCTCTCGACCATATATTTAGCTGAGTCAATTAACTCGTGCCTTTGTTGTATGGAGAGGATTTACTGAGTGCGACCCATGGACTAAATTGAATTTGATTGTTTCCCGTTCTGTCTGAAAATAGTTTGCATTATGATTAGTTTGATAAATCCTACATAGGAAAATGAAAATTGCAATTTACTGTGGGGGTAAAAAGTTAGGTACTGATTTTTTCTTCAGTTATTTCAAAGGAGTTCCTTCCAATTATTAGCTTATTTTTACTCACAATAATTTTTTTATCAATAAGGAAGTTGTATTGTTATAATCGTTGGATCTTTAAAGTAGATTTCAAATTGTTATTAAAAAATTAAAAGATTGTGAAAAATCTGTATGCTGGAATATGAACTGATTTGGAATAATTATTATTAAAACCACGGATTGTGAATTTCAATTCTCTGGACTTGGAAACTACTTAGATTTAGATAGAAACTTGGTGACCTTTGATACTTGTTTCAATTGAAATATATTAGTTGTTGTCATTGTCATTTATACAGGTTTTGACAGAGTTTTAAGATATAAGGATTCAGTAAAATTTTGTTCACGTTAAAAAAAAATATTTATAAATTAATCATCCATCAACTTTTCAAAATTATTTTGTGAGTTATTTAGTCTATCACATTCATTTACATTCATTTTGTTTTTATACATTGTATTGTTTGTATATTATAATTTTTGCTAAAATCAAAATCGCTTTTGAATTGGAATTCAAAGTAAACATTTCAATACCAAGGTAAAAATTCAACAATTTTAGAACTAGACCATCTGTAATAAAAAAATAGTATCCCATCACATACATACTAGTGATTCGGATTATTATGTACAAGGATAGGGATCAGCTAGCTTACCTGGTAGACAGAGTCCAGATTAGCCTTGGTAACACACATAAAACACCACATAACACAACACAGAAAACATCAGAAGGGAGAAGAAAGAAGACTCAGTCTTCTTTGAGTCTCCCTAACTGGGACGAAATATTAAGTTTTCTGTGTTGTGTTATGTGTTTTATGTGTGTTACCAAAGCTAATCTGGACTCTGTCTACCAGGTAAGCTAGCTGATCCCTATCTTTGTACGTAATAATCCTAATCAGCCAATTGGCCGTTCCTTAACTTTTATACTAGTGAATCAATCTTTCTGTTTATTCCATCTGATTTTCCATTTCCCATGAAAGCATTTTATGAATCTCTTTTCCACAACATACACTAAAAGCTACTTTTAAACATCAACGCTAATCAATCATGGATCACATCCATATTACACTGCAATAAGCAATTAATATTTTGCCAGCTTTTAAATGCAGGTTAAATTTTGTTTCAGGGAGAGAAGGTTCGAGTGATGAAGCAAGGTGGGAAGTCCAAACAGGAATGGCAGCCGGAGGTTGACAAACTGTTGAAGTTGAAAAAAGAACTCGCGGCTCTCAAGGGCGAACCTGATCCTACCGTCAAGCAGGTACAGAAAAAAGTTGTATTTAAATTATTTTAATTTAGGTTTGTGCTTGCCATTGTCAACTGTCTAAATGAGTGTTTGAAAAGCTTGCCTTCAAATCTGAAGGTAGCTGGTTTGATCCTTAGCATTGTAGATCCTGAATCCTTATGTTATTTTGTCATTGGGCTCTCAATCATAAAGTCAACATTGAACGGCAAGGAAACTAGTGTTTTGGATTTTGGGTTTGGGCAGTTTCCTTGCAAAATAAGTAAACTTTCTATAACGCTGAATAAAACACTTTTTATACCGATAAGATGCTTCATTGTGAAAAGGCTTGGAGAAATTGTGTCGCAATAATAAGTGCATAAGGGAAATCTTCTCATCTGGTTTAGCGGTTTCAATAATATACTCATTGAAATCTATTCAAAATTTAAATGATTTAATTAAAACTTTTTCAGAAATCGAAGAAATGACACAAAGCCAACCCTTCCAAAGGAAAGAAAGGACATAGATGAGACGAGTGATTACAGAAACAGCAATTTTTTTAGATGAAAAGATCTTATTTATTAATTTGTTTTGAAAACAAAAATACTGCTTTATTTATTACTTTACAAAGTAATTTGTAAATTTTTTAATAGAATAATTTTTAAGAGTGAACGTAGAACCAGAAAGTGCTTGTAAATAAATAAGAGGTGACTGAAATGTTGTGGTGTATTTTATATGCCTTATTCCTTAAATATTACCATAAATATCTTGGAAAAGGAGAGTTGATTTTATAATTTTTTCAATATGGTTTTGGTGCTTTCGTGGGGAAAGAATCTCAACATGTAACTTTTTACAAAAAATTTACAAGGTGGTGTAGTATAAAAAAAATCAAGAAGATGAAATGATGTTGGATTATTTTTTGTTTAAGAGGTACCTACTTAAGATTTGTGTAAGATTTTTTAAGAAGCATTGATCAGAAATGGTAAAGTGGTCTAAAATTTTATCACTTTAAAAAGGGTTAAGAATAAAAGGCACAACAGTTTAAATCAGTTTACTTTTGATTTATATTTAAAGCCATCTTTTATTGAATCTCTAAATAACGGAGATTAATAATATTGAAGGCAAAAGTCTAGTCAGTAATGTTTGAATGTATTTTTCAGTCTATATTTTTTGTTTAGGTTCCAAATATTTATATTTTTTTTAGGGATGGACGAGATTGGATTTTTAGTTCGAGACGAGACGAGACGAGATTTTTTATTTCTCATAAAATTTCGAGACGAGATTGAGACGGGATTTCCCTTCTCATACACAACGGGAAATGCACGTTCAAAATTTTTACCTGATTTTGTAACATTGTTAGATGACTGTTTTAATACAAAAATAATGATAATAGGCAAGAATATTTACAATCTTTTATTAAAAAACATCAGCATAACATTTTTTTATTAATCACGCCTAACTTATTAAAAATGCCTACGATTAGGAAACATAGTGATATCGGTTAGGATGGAGTTAAACTTATCCTAAAATAAAATAAACCATAAAATAAAAGCAATATTAATTTTTATAAAATAGTTACTTGTTTTGACTTTTTATAGTAATAAAACATTCCTCACACTGCTTACACTTAACAAAACTTCTCAAATGTTATTAAAGTAATATTATTAAAATAATTAAAGTAATATTTACATTTAAAGAATTAATTAAATAAGAACGCCTTCGCAAAGGAAACGCAACTACAACACGCTCCTGTATTGCGGGTATTGCATTGACTTTCTGCAGGCGTTTTTAATTTTTTGTTGTTTTTTTTTTTATTCTCGTCTCGATAAAAATCTCGGCCAAAAAGAAATCTCGTCTCGTGTAACGAGATTTAAAATTTCCCAAAAATTTCCCGAAATTTCGAGACTTGACCATCCCTAATTTTTTTCTTAAATTAATTCAATATAATGTTACCTGCTTATGTTATTTTAAATGGAAACTAATATTCAGAATCTCACCCAAAGACAATTTCTTTTTTCGTTAGACACCAAAGTTGAAACGTAGCCATAGGCTTACCAAAACAACCCAAAGATACCATTAGTGAACGATCCTTCTTGCTAATGTCTGTTTTGTGAGAGTTTCTGTTTGAAATATTTCTGTTTGTAAACTCCCTAAAGCTCTTTAAACAGTTCCATTCCTTATCAAGGAGACAAATTGGAATTCCATTCTTTTAGAAAACACTTAAAATTCAGTAAGAAATTATTTAGACCTTTCGATGCTAGAATATTTTTTTTTTTTTTGTAATTTCCTGAAAAATGTTTAAGTTTTATTTTGTTGTTATTATTAGTTTTTTAGAGGTTAACTGTAAGAA